CAATAGTTCGCCATTAAAATAGTATTTGCAACACCGTATTTTTGTTTTGAAATATATAGTTATATTATAACTGTTATAATATACTAGCCGTTCTGCTTGTTATTATCCGTGCCAAATAAATGTGTAATAAAAACGATTTCCCCTAGATTTCTTAGATATTTTGTTTCAATCCTCGTCATTATTACTGCAGTTAACTGTTGTTGCCCTTAAATATTAAAAAATGCATTTTATTTATTTATTTGTTTTATTTTAAAAGAATATTTTCAATCTTTGTCAGAATAGCACAATAAGCAAATGTTATAATTTATGTATAATATAACTGTGTAAAATATATAATATTCTTCTTTTCATTATTATCGTGTAGAAGGTTTAAAGCTATTGAGTACATCGGACCGACCAGTAAAAGTATAGTAGATGACCTAACCTGCAGTAGTTAGGGCTGGACGAAAAAAAATAATTATCAGATATTTTCATTGCTTAGCAACCATAAAGCTAATTTATATAACTATGAAAATAAAAATAAAAAATATCGAAAATTTCGTCCAATATTCAACTCACAAATCCCACCTATCTTCTAAAGAGAAATTATCGCAGAGACTTTACTAACCTAAAATAATATATCACACTGGGGTCCAACAGCAGTTGGCCACCCTCTTCATATTATTCAAAGTTATATTATACATAAATTATAACATTTGCTTATTGTGCTATTCTGACATAGATTGAAAATATTCTCTTAAAATAAAACAAATAAATAAATAAAATGTAATTTTTAAACATTTAAGGGCAACCACAGTTATCTGCAGTAATAATGACGGAGATTGAAACAAAAAAATCTAAGAAATCTAGGGGAAATCGTTTTTTATTACACATTTATTTGGCACGGGTAACGCCACACAGGACGGCGTATATTATAATTATATATTTTAAAATAAAATTACGGTGCTACAAATCATTAAAAAAAAAAAAAAAAAAGATATAACAATTGGATGAGTAGTTTCGGAGATTACCCCGGACATCAAAATGGCACTTTGTTTTTTATATACGTATATAAAAAAATATATTAAAAATTGGCACTGGTAACGCCGGGTAGGACAACTTATATAATAAGTATAATATACTAATATAATAATATAATAATGCCAATTTTTTAATATTTTTTTTTTTATTTGTCTATTATACATTAATTCCTATTCTAATCTCGCTTTCCGTTGCTCGAAATGCATTTTTCTTTCGTGCTTCAGATGTAGTTTAGCCAATTGATTTCCGTTTAGGGAGCATATCTGTCATTTGTCGACGACGTAGTATTTAGAAAATCAAAGAAGATTGATTGGCACACCACTCTACTGTACTCATTGTATGTTTTATGCATGTCTCATAACATTCATGAAGTGTACATACTATTGATTTCTTCGTAGGTAATTAAAATTAAACAGATGTCCTACAATCACGACACAATATACGTTATTAACTATATACACACTCATAGAATACATACCATAGACATAATAAGAATTTGCCCATGACAATCCTGTTAACTAATAATATTTGTTTTTAAATTACCAAGGGGAATCCATAAATAAAACGAATTATTTTATCTCCGTTCGAAAAATACCTAAAACCCGGTTTTTTTGGGTGATAGTGGAGCTATTGAAGAATTGTACAGATGTATTATGCCAAAAATGAGCGTATACTCAACAACTTCCTAATGTTTCATGGCGATCGGATGAACAGTTTAGGAATGATTAAATGATTATCATTTGTAAAACCGATATTTTTTTTTTTTAGAAATATACAATTTTATTTTTAGTTTTAACAAAAATATAAATTAGAGAAATCATAGCATAAGGCCCTAGTAATTATTACAAGGGAAAAATAACTTAGAATCATTGATCACGGTATACAGGGGTACACCTTTATATCGATTACTAATCATTATACATAATACGTTATAGTTAATTTTATTCGTTTATAATTTTCAGTGTACACCTCGGATTTTTTTTTTATAACACATGCCTAATATTGTTAGAGCTATATTGAACGAACCGACAATTTAAATTAAACCCAAGTTTTGAATAAATGACCTCCGCATACCAGTGGCAATTAGTTTAGAAACCGTCAACGGTGTTTTACAATATAATGCCATTAATTGTATTAATCTTTCTACCTGCGAATTTGCATAAAAGCTAAAGGTTTGGTACAACTAAATAATAATGCAAATCCTTCTGATTAACTTATATTGGATTCAAGGGCTGAAAGACGACAATTTAAAGTATTTAAATGGAAACAATGATTGATTTTCTCGGATAAAACCTTGGTTTTAAGTAGATTTGAGTTTATAGTTTTTTTTTCAATGGTTTGAACTGTTCTTATGGTATGAATTTCATCATTATTTATTATTTATTTATACATAATGTACGTGCACATTAACAAATAATATAGATAAAACTATCATAGTGAGGAGGTTTCTAAACCCTAATACAAAATTGAATACATTATTATGTAAAACGTTCTACTCTTCTGGTAATAGATATGTCATAGGTGTAATAATCGGTAGAAAAATGGGAAAGTAAGGTATACAGAATAATTTAATTTATATTCAAATTTAGATCAAACAATTATTTCTAACCAAAAACAATTCTTAGCCAAGTTCTGTAAAACACAATTTAATGAAATGTCAAATTCAAGGTTTTTATAAAATGTTTAACTTAAAATAATTAAAAAATATTTATATTGTGACATCATAATAATAACTTATAATTTAACGAGATATTGTTTTGGACATTTTACCAAAACTTTATAGAGCCAATATCAAATCTCAAGTATCAACCTTATTTAATCGAATTAGGTATAACAAAAAAATAAAATCAAAAATAACAGAAATCGTTTAGTATAAATTTCCTCGTTTTTCTCATTATTAAGGAAACTACAAGGAACATCGAAAAAATATGACAAACTAAGCAAAATTTGCTACCAAAAACTACCTTTAAGTTAATGACCAAGACAAGATGCCAAATATCTGGTAGAAAAGTTATTCACAAACAGAAAAAAGACAAAGAACATCATCACACATCATAGAAAAAAACCAATACATTTCTCGCTACGTTCAGATTCTACAAAGAGATGGAATGATCTGACCGTACATCCCCCCGTGTATAGCTCCTAAACAATTATGATCAGGCTATTTCAATTGTTTAGACTTTAGGTTAACACTTCAGAAATAAAACGTCATAAATACTCGACATTTTATAAAACTATTAAAACAAGTTAATATTTTTGGAAGTTATTGCTCAAAACCTAAACTCTGCCTATGTTATTTAGCTATTGTGTTTACGTAATAAAATAATCAACATTGGTTCGTGATGTAGAGCATGGATTTTTACATAACTCTCGCAGGCTAACATTCACCAGGGGAAAAAGCAGCGTACAAACGTAATAACGTACACAATATGATGTGGAAAATGATGATTATTTTTAAAATGATAATTTTGAGTGTAGGTATGTAGGTATGTACTTCATAAATATAAATCCCAAAACCAGATCTCGAGATTTGTCAAATATAGTTTGAAAAATGTAATATTTTGTGCGTCAACAAGAATGTTGCATACATTATTAAAACGTAAACATTCATGGTACTTACTCGTATATAAAATTATTATTATTCATTTTAATGTTATAGTACTTGTTTTGAATTACACAGATATATATATATAATAAACTATAGATTCACTGCTTATCACCAGTTAACAATCTTTTACAGGTACTGTATCTAAATATATCTGTGTTAAATTATAACTAGTTAATAATTTTCAACGGTATAGGGATAACAACGTTTGATATTATATTTGACCGACTGTTTGTTTTAGTATATTATTTGAATTTTGATTAATTTACAGTACCTAGGGGTAACTTAAAATGAAAAGTTTGTTCAATTTGGAAACTACTAGGTATATTATTTGTATCATTAATATTTATTTCTCGGAATATTAGTTTTATAAGTTAAAATGTTAAATACTTCTCTACAAATAACAATGGCATTATTATTATTATAGTCCATCGTTACCATAGGCACCGACTTTTAGATTTTTGCACAGGGGCAAATAAAAAACTTAAACTGCTGTACTACATGGATATTATTTTTATAGATATAACGCCATAATCGTGACATTTTATTTCTAGCCATATTCCGGCAATAATTGAAGTACGGGGGCTAGGCCCCTCCTTAAAATCAAATTACGTGGGTGATTTTCCACGTGAAGTCGGCGACTATGATCGTTTTTAACTTAACTTGTCTAACCTATATAGTTACTTATTTGAACAGTGTCTGCAGAGAACAGAAAAGTAGACCAACAATAGGCAATATAAATTGTGTATGTTTTCTTTTCTATATTATGTTGATTATATAAAAAAAATCTTCAATTCAATTTGTTTCGAATACCTACCTACTATTTTATTACCTATACATAACATAATATTGTAGTGAATTTTCTGTGTTACGCGAAATGTCTCGAGAAATAACCAACAAATATATCCGCTGTGTTATATAAGTGGATGTGTAGAGGAAATTGTGTAAATATATAGTGACTTGGTTTTTCTTTTTTTTGGATTCTACAACATAGATTTATACATATTTGCTGTATAATCATATATTATAAATAGGTAGGTAAGGTTGGGTAGTCGTTATAATATCGTTTGTAGAAATATTATGTAGGCGTTTATGTTTATTATCTTACGCTTGATAATGCGGAGTATTACTGGTATTTACTGCACCGTAGAACTTACTTATAATTAATATTGAAACATAGGATTAAGGGTAGTTGGATAAAGTATAGAGAAATGTTAGGTGTTTTGTGTGACGAGAGAACTCTAATGAAACTTAAAGTTCTACAAAACTACAAAAGTGTGGTGAGACTGACTATATTGTATGGTTCGGAGTGTTTGTTGGTAAACAAACAGAACAGAGAATGAGTAGAGATTTTGGAAACAGAATAGTTGGATAGATGAGTGTAGTGACTGGAGGTCATATGATAAGGAATGAGTTTATAAGCGGTGACAGCTTAGGCATGAGAGTAGAAAAAATTAGAGAAAATAGACTGAGATTGTTTGGGTATGTCTTGGAGAGATGAATCTGAAACAGTAATAATTGTAATGCAAATAAACGCAGGAAGAAAAAGTGGTTAGATGCTACTGAGAATGATATGAGAATAGTCGGTGTTTGCAGGATGGTAGATTGGGTCAATTGGAAGTTTATAGGACGAAGGTGGTCGACTAAGAAAAGTTGGAATGAAGACGAAGGAGAAGAAGAAAAATAACGGGACAAGTAAAGTGTATAAAGAATTTATAACTTTTAAACTAAAATTCGTTTAAAAGTATGCTAGGTTAGATTATGAACGTCTTTTTTCTCCATTTTTTTTTTATTTAAATATTTAAAACTGTTGCCAATGTAAAATATATATACATAAAAGTTGTTTTTTTTTTTATATCAAGTGTACGTACCTACCTATTTAAATATTTAAACAAAACGAAATATGCACGCAATGTAAATAGATAAGTATATCGTATATGATATATATAAAGTATTGATTAGAGTTACAAAAGATCAGAATCTCTCTGACTGACGAATAGTCGTGGATATTGTACAAAAACGACAACAGAATACTGAGTAGATTAGAGTAAATACTGTGTTGAGTTAACAGAATTATTTTCAGATTTAATCTTTTTTTCCGTACTGCAGTTGAATAATACTATATTCTCAACACGTTTGAATAAATCATAGATAATATATATTTATTTATGCTCATGTTATTAAATAAAACTTAATGGTAGGTTATAACTTATAACTAATGCAACTAAAAGAAAAAAGTTTTGTATTCATTAATCGTTACATTGATAAAAATCTTTAATTAAAAACAAAAAACATATTTAACTTTCTAAATAGAAAAAAAAAAAACAATATTTTTTTAATTTAACTTAAATTATAGATCCTTCACCTACAATCAAAATTACATTTTTAAAAAAACTGGTGGATCTGAAAAAAATTAATTCTAACTCAATGTAAAATATCAATATAAATGTCGGTTTAATTATAGTTAGATTTCTTCGTGGAATGTAAACAAATGTTTATCAATGTTTTGGCTCTCACAGATACCTAGGTAATATTAAACTACCATTATAATGTAGTAAAAAAATAATTATAAATTGATAATTTACTCTCTAGATCAAGTTATAATAATCTATTACTGATTTTGGTTTTTGTTTTTTTTTTTTTGTTTTTGTTTTGTGTTTTATCGAAATATCCATCGTTTCCGACGGTTAAAATGGGTTCTTTTTTTTTTGTAAATAAAAATGATAAATAAATAATAAAAAAAAAACGTTGCTGTATGGTCCCTTAAGTGGTGTACGGAATAAATCTCTGGAAAAAAAAAATGCCCGATGATCTATTGCGGTTGATAAGTCAGACACTGCAGGATATCATGGGCAAAATAACTAAAAAAAAAAATTATTTTCGAATTTGCTTTTTGAAATACCAAACAGTACGGTAATAGTATACTGAACCGCCATTGTGGATAAACTTATATTAACCCTTTATAAAGGGATATTTTTTATTTTTTTTTTTAAATGTTTACCAGTAGCCTATTATAATATCACGTAATTGCACATAAGCGTGCACACGAATAGGTGAGGTCGGGTATTTCAGTTTTATAATACGCGGTATCCAAATTTAATATGCAAACTAAATATTATTTTGTATACAGGGTGTCGTACAGTGTTATTAAAATGCTAATAACTCTGTCAATATTCATTTTTTTAAACACATTTTTTTCAATCGGGTTTTTTTGTTAGGGCGACACAAATTTAGAGAAAAATTAAATTTTTATTTTCACCCATTAATCACTGCAAAATATAACTTTATTATTTCACTTTTTTAAATTTTCAAACTAGCCATTTTATAATATATATATGTTTATTATTCTAAATATTTGAATGTATTAGGTATACATGTCTTCCTGAAAAAAAAACCCGATTGAAAAACAAATTTCAAAAAAAAAATTGAACTTTGACAGAGTTATTAGCATTCGAGGAATACTGTAGGACATCCTGAAGTACATAAAAGTTTTCTTTTTTTGTAGAACCCATTTAAATAACTATGAGATATTTGTTTTAACAATATATAGTTATAATTTTCTTACAGTGCAATTTTTATCTAGCTTTTATTAAGTAATTAGTAAATTACACGTCGTGTACATCCGATTATTATATCTTATTTAACGCTCTATTAAAACTATAATTTTAGAATTTACTGAGTACAAACAGTAAATCCTAGCATTAACTAGTAAAACCTAGATAGGGCTTTTACCATATCATAATATATATTTATATTATACTATAGTATGCAATCAATAATCATGGATGAAATAAAATACCATGCACCGTTATAAATGGAACGATTTGTTAAAAAAAAAAATTAAATAACACCCTGCAGCATCTTTTCTCCCTTCCCTCTATATTACGCCCGCTTCCTCTCCATCACTCTCATGCCAACGAAAACCTTTGCAAGCATATGGACTTCAATACACGAAACGTACGACTCTATGAAATAGATTTCAAAAAATGTTTTTTTTATTTCGAGTAATATCTACCTTTTGAGAAATCTCTATCGAGGGCGATAAATTGTTATCCGTTTACATTTTTAAACGTCTTCGTGACGTAATCATAATATATACCTATATTCCACTGGTGTGTGCAGTGAAAATTATCTAACGTCATTTAAGACTACGCAATGCAGCACAGTCTTATTAAAATTTAACGTACCTACGTTCTACTCGTCGTATATAATTTACCGGTTTTCGTATTTTAACGGATAACATATAGAACGGAAAAATACGTCTATGTCGGACATCGGTGTTAAGGATAAATCGATTTTTAACTTAAACTTTAAAACAATATTATAATATGCTTATTCACACAATGATAGTTTTATTTGAACCAGTTAGTCATATTCTTCCCCTTCCTAAAAAAGATTTTCAAGCAGTGGAACCAAGTATACAATGGAGAAAAGTCGCAGAAGATAAAGAAAGATGGCGGAAAATCCGTTTGAAGTGCTGGACTTAAAGGCCGATACTCACAAGAAGAAAATAAGAGAGTCGAGACATTCAAATAATATTGCATTATTATTTTCGAGTATGATAGATACACTTGTTTACTCCGATCTTTTCGTAAACCGTTTACTCAATTAGTCTTGTAACTACTGCATTCGCATTTATATTTTTTAAAATAAAAAATATATATTACTTTCAGACGCCAGTAATTGTTGTGTTTAGTATTTAATATGTATACGAAATTTCCTCTATGGCTTTATAACCTAAATTTTCAATATTTCGACATACAACAATATACTACCGACTTATATACGTGTTTTTTAAAATTTATATGGTATGATATATACCACATTAGCACGTTGAAATTAAAAACTGTAAATGTATACAGTTTTTACGTACAGCCTACGATAGCTACAGTATGTTCTAGCTCGATAAGAATAATAGTCATTTTAAATTTCCATTATAAAATATTAAATCACATACATACTAAGTATCTACATTATTAAGTAGTATTTAATTTATTTTATTAATCTATACTTGTGAAATTTAACTTCCAACTGGAATCTTTTGCCATTTTAAACAACCGGTTGTTCGTGTTGTTTAAATTAATAAGAGAATAAATTGTTACAAACACAAAAATTCTGGTTCTTATTTGTTGGGTACTTTTTTTCAACAAATTTTTATTTTTAATTTTAATTTTTTAATTTAATTTTTATTTTTATTGGTTTGATTTTTAATGTTAAAATAACTTTCCATACTTACCTGTTTTTTTTTAAATATTGATATGAATATTGCTATTCCGTTTTATAATGACAAACTTATTCCTATACAACTATGTTCCTACCTAAATTATTAATTTTCATACCAACATTTTTGGAAGTTTTTTTTTCGAGACGGGTATGTGATTTTAATACGAGCAAATCTATGTAAGTTAATACCATTGGAACATAATTACCACCGTAGTCCGTAATAAACTAATAGAAGATAATATAATATAGGTAACTAAAATAATATTATGTTCTAAATATAATACTAGTAATTTAAGGTCCAAAATAATATACAACTAGACACGCCCTAATTCGGATCATTAATATTGAACAATAAAATCAATAATTCTAATTCTTTAATGTATTAATACATTTTAAATATATATATATATGTGTGTTTGGAATAATGAAAAGTATACCTTTATAAATATATAAAAAAAAAAAAAACAAAACTTATAAGTAATAAAAAATTCTTTAGTTTGACATACGATAAATTCGAAAATATTTGCAATCGATATCAACCAAAGAAGAGGAATCGTTAAACCACAAAAAAATCTACGGAATACTAAAAAAAATCGGTAAAAAAAAGGTACCAATGTATTAAAAAGGGTTCTGTACTCGTAATTCAAATATTAATTGTATTCATGCTGTTCAGTAGTATTGGTTAATGTAGGTTATGTGGGTATATATGATTAAAAGTGAGCACCAATAAAAATTATGTGGAACAAACCTAATTTTTTTTTTTTAAACATATGTATATTGCCTAAATAAGAATGATGGTGAAGTCGAAATTAAGCGGACTGGCTAAGTTTCGAAATTATAGTTTTTTGAAGTTCGATATTATTCGGATATTATATGGTATGTCAAATAACTTTATCTTGTCCTTTTTAAAGTATATATATCGTGATCTAACGATTATTCATGCCTATTACAATCCTAGGGGGCTCTGAGTTCTAACCAGTGTGACAAAAATAAGTTTTTTGCATTTCCCCCCCCCCTAAACTAGGAATAAACAAATTAATTTTGGATGTACCTAAAGATTTAATCCATCGCTTCCTCAGCCTATTTTAATCGCGAAATACCCCTCGATTTGTTGTGCCAACTTTTGTACCAGAAATCTTGCTCTGATGTATCAAGGTTCGCTTATTTTCTGAAAGAAAATTCTATCTCCATGATAATTTAGAGAAATCGTGTATGGATTTTCATAATATCTGGGAAAAACCGACATAAAATGTCGGAAAAACGGAAAATGTACGAAATGTGGGTATTAGTACAAAAAATATTATTGCCTTATTATATTACCTTATAAATATTATTTTTTTCTGTGTATAACTTTTCTATCAGCAATTTCGATCCGATTTTAAATGATAGCACTTTTTTTGAAAGGAAATCTGACTGGGAAGATACTTTAAGGAGGTAATTTTTCAATTTATCCAGGAGTTTTCC